TTATGTATTTTCATCCGTGTCCCCCTACCCTATCTTTTACAATTTTGATGTGTCCCTTACCCGCCCGCATACACACCCATATCCGTATCTATGCAACCTTGTCGAGAAAATATTAGGGATATATAGTAAATATAGGAGTGCCATATTGAACAACATGCATATATAATGTAATGTCCCATAATGTAATCAATACTTAATGAAATATAAGCATACAAAACTACAAATAGTACATGTTTAGGATCCCTAACCAATCATAGAAACTCAGGGGAAAAACATACTATAACTAGCTATAGAACTTAAATTTTAGCTAGAAAAAACATTAAATAAATTTTATATATTGTTTAGTGATAAGCTATATAAAAGGGCATATTGGCCCACATATCAACTAATATATCAGCTAATATATCAGTCATGTTAGGGATATATCGCCCATAAATTGCCAAACAGCGGTAAAGGATATTAAGATCATATTGTTTTGCGACAAGCCTTATAAAAGGATATATCGGATGGATATATTTGATAAATCGCGGATATTTAAAACAATGACAACAACAAGAACAAAAGTTCTATCCCAAGATTTTGGGGTTAGCTATATGAATTATTTTCTTTGCTTCACCTTTGTTGAGCATTATCCCATCAATTAACTGCCAACATAATTTTGTTAGTAACCTGTATCCAATTTCTCCTTGTCCTACCTTTAGCTCTCCTTACTTTATTAATCACAATCCTATTGTGTCACCTAATTGGTATACTTATCGGTCTATATAGCATATTCTTAAACAATAACAATTAATTCTCTCTTATCTTAATCCTTAATAGAAGCAACCTCTAAATTCTTACAAATACAATGATGTCTTATCCTATCTCTGAATGCATATCTGTTGTCAAAATAAAACAGATAATCTTGATACATTCAAACATGCATTGCTAGTTTGCTAATACAACAAATTTGTTAACTGATTAATGAAATTGTATTATCAAAACCATGATTCATTACACAGAGCGCACAGCTCTACCAAATCCCAACACTTTAAAGTTTAAACTTCTTATAGATTATTATTACTAACAAGATATTTTAAAATTTACCACATTAACTTCAGACAAGATTTTAGAAGCTTTTAATATCCCATGGCTGATCAGGTTCATGCTTAAAAAATAATCCATCTTTTTAAAGACTAAGAGAAAATAGTTATTTTGCTTCTATATACTCATCTTTCATGCAAAACATGCACAACTATATCGTCTGGTTGATTTTACCTGAATCAGCGGAAACAATGCAGCAGACAGTGGACGTACTGAATGGAGAGCAAGCCTCAAATGCTTCACAGCATCTATATAGTTCCCATCAGCCAACTGCCTATATTGATAAATTATTTGATCAGTGCCGCCAGTAAAGTGCTCTAAGTGAATAGGCAACAAAACTGTATCTAACCCTGAAAAGAATCAACCATAGCAGAATGAAATCATACAGGAAAATTAAGAGAAAATTTTCAGACAATAACATTATGGGGGAAATTTGTTTAAAAAAACCATAGGGTGGACATGTGCTACCATGTAAACCTTGGGAGAATTAAAAGTAACTTATCCTAAATACTACATAGAGAACAAACCAACCCCGTTAAAATCCTCTAAATTTAAATGAGGCATCTCTAAAATACATACAGCTGATAAAAATAGTAAACCAGCACCTACAGCAGTACAGCTTATATTTACAATTAATTTCAGCTGATGCAAGCTATACGACTGAGTTAAATATAATTTATAACATGTTTGATGGAAACCCATTTCCTACTTTCGAGTTGGGATTCCATTGACTGTGTGGTTCATCGTTTCCTATGAGATGAATACAGATTCCAGTAGCAAGTCTCATCACCCTACCTCCCAATGCAGGCCTTTCCTAGTGTACTGGAATTGCTAGGAACCAAAACATATTACCAGTGAGAAAACTTATGGGAGACAAAACAGAAAGAATACTCCAGGAGCAGAAACTCAGACAGTGGTACACTGATAAGCAGGGGCCAAACAGAATAATTACTAAAATCCAACTATGGTATGATGAGAAGAGAACAAGCACAAACAAAGAGCATGTCTTCATACATTCCTTTAAATGCAAGTGTAAATGAAAAAGGTAAGGGTACCTAGATGTCAAACATAAACTTAATTGTGAAAAGGTTTATTTATATACAAATGTATTTTATTGAATTGAGAAATGAGAGGCTCCAATCGCCATAAAGCATTTAGGTGGTGGACCTATACGCATCTTTTCATTAATATCAAGTACATATCTCATGGGAAGGCTTCAAAAACACACACTTGAACCAATATAGTCACAAAGTTGCATATGTTATCCACCAATAACAATAATGAATTAAAAGAACAACACATAATCTTTTATTACATCCTATAAATTTTTAAGCTACTAGATCAAAGTGAGAATCAAACAGAATTAACACAAGAAAACCAAGCCTACCAATCTTTTAGTAGTAAGCCAATTCTTGGTGGACAAGTTTAATAAGTGATGAAAACAACAACGAGCTGATAATAGAAGGTGAATCAAATAGAAACATGAAAGCATGATGGAGAAATTTGAGGTGACTAACCATGTGCAAAGAAAATGGAACTGTTTTGGAGGTTGTCATCAAGGTTAAATGAACCAGAGTTTTGTCCATTTTTAGCTGTTGAGTGGCTTCCATAGAATTCTTGGGGCCAATGAGCATGACCAGGTTCTGTTTTAGAGCGATAATTATTACAGCCTTTGATAATCTTGTCATTACCAAAGGAGCTTTCTGAAGCACATTGAGAAGAAAATTTGACATGCGTAGTCGCCGCATAATAATTATTTGAACTTTCACCAATCTCCATTTCTCTATAACCATTATCAGAGGCAACCCCTGGTGTCCCCATTGGCATGCAATTATCAAAACCCTTTATCCTGATCTCCTCGGGGAGACCAGAATACCATAGCTGATAAAGTATCATCCCATGAAGGAGGTTTGCCAATGGGTCTTTTGACAGTTCATCATCCTGGATAACACTACAAAGGACACGAAGATAGTTACAATCGGTATATTCAGTGTCTGATCCATAATTGTAAATATAATAAATATTGAGCTTATAAAACTTGACCTGATAAACCATAAAACAATGCATTCATATAATTAGATTTTTACACAATGAAACACAAGATTTTAAATAGCATCTGCAGTATACCCCAGATTTGCTTCTTATAAAAAAAAGCAAATTTAAATTTTGTGGGGAAGTTTTTAGAACGTCTCCCAAACAAGTGATATGCATTGGCTTGTTGAGTTTTTTCTTTAATCAAGAAAGGAGAAGTGTCCTTATTCTAGTGGGAGCCTTGGACAAATGTAAGGCAATTGGACACTTGTCCCTTGCCTCCTCACGGTGAAGTTCTCCCTAATAAACCCCTCATCCCTCTCTCTCTGCTGTAGCATAAAAATTTAGAGCAAATTTCAGAGAGAGAAAAGAGAAGAAAGGTAAAAGAGAAGGAAGGCTAGGGGAGAAGATGAGGCAAAGTTAGGGATCTCAACTTTGAAGTATATCTTCTAAAACTTTTTAGTAGATTTTCTAGTGATGTATAATGTTGTAAATATGTAGGGA